GTACTATTATTTATTCCGTGGTCAAAGTTAAGTAAATGATGAGTTGTCTATTCGTCTGTAAAGTGTAAATTTGGCCGCCCTCTGAACTTGCCGCCCGGGGCGTAGACCCCGGCTTGCCCCCCTAGATTCGGGGCTGACAATTAAGTACTACAAGAAAAGCAACAACAATAAGTAGAAAATTAAATACAAACTAATTTTATAACATAATTAAATTAATGATAGATCAAGTTCAAAGTATAACGTCTGAAAATTGTAAACTCACAAATAAATCAAAATTTTTACAATGACTATTGTAGAAGTGCAATAGACACTTAGAATTTAGAGTCTAGCTTAAAGAGAAGCATCACTCGAGTTGTATATAAGTCCGTACATTAAAGCGAACATCGCGCAAGAGCTCCATGAAATGGGAAATATCATATCATATTACTTCATTGAGGGGAGGCGACCCCGCAATGAAGAAATCCCAAAAACCAAGCATCGCTGGGTACATGAACAATAAGAGAGATTAAATTAGTGTTCCAATTCTCTCAAAAAGCTCCTCTGCAAAGCCTCAATACGATCGACATATGTTATACGGTGTACGAAGGATTCCAAACAACTGAGGCAAAATACAAAACAATACCGACATACGCCGTACACAAGGAAACGATACTCAGCAGACTAGTAAAGGAACATAACAGCATCTATATGGTCACAGAAAAGGAGTTTTGAGTCAAGAACAAGACCAAGGTCTCTAATTTGAAAAGTAATATTCACTTAATTAGTTCCCAGGCGATACTTAAAATTTTTAGGGTATCTCTTTCTACGACCTAAATGTAATTAGATAGCACTTATCATAATTAAGAAGCAAATCATTTTTGAAGCAATAGTCTTGCACAGGCTAAAAATCCTCCTCAAGCAATAAGCTATCAGATATGGAAGCTACCCCGGAAAAAATTTTACAGTCCTCCACGCAAAGCAAAAAATTGGAGTGGTGAAAATTCTCATTAATATAAGCTAAACATAAAATTGGTGCAAGGTGTTTGCCCTGAGGTACGCCCGACGTACCAGACGCAAAATGGAAATATAGTGGTATAGCTAATTCCTCCGCGCAGCTGATAATAAACCCACCAGGCAACCTATCTGGACCTAGACCCAATTTAGGCTCAAGTAAACACAGTCGAGCTACAATATCCGATGGTGAAAACCAAGGACAGATCAAAAGAAAAGAACTGTTAATGGTAGATTAATTTATCATTAACAGTAACTGTAGAGCCTCGGCCTCCCTCACTACTCCTCTCCAGTCCTCCCTGCAGAATGCTCGACGCCTCCATCCTCTCACTTGCAGTCTCATTAGGTCAGCCTCCACGTCGTCCAGCCATGGTCTACGCGGTCGTTCCGGAAGTCGTTGACCCTCATGTTTCTGTTGACATGCTCTTTTTACCGTTCTTTCCTCCAACAGCCTCTCCATGTAGCCAAGCCATTGAGGTCTGGTCTTCCTTACTTCGGCTGTATGCGGTGGCTTATCATATAATTACTATACATCCGCGTTTGTGCGGACCCACCACAAATCACCATCTCGAATACTTTACATTACATTACATAGATGACATATCGGGTAGGCGGACCAACCAACCTTGCACAGCGACCCTAAGAATCTATTGTATCCATTTGTATCCTATTGAGTCCAATGCTCTTAAAGAACATTAATACTTTGCTCGGTGAAAACTCATTCAGATCCTTTGGGGAGATAAACTGCGACCCAAAAATCGAGAATCTGATACGATTAACAGCAGGGCAGTGGCATAAAACATGCTCAACCGTCTCCTCGTCCTCCGCACACAGTCGGCGTTCAACATCGTCGACTAGACCCAACAAGTTGAGGTGTGTTTTTAATCGGCAGTGCCCAGTAAAAACACCCATTACAACTTTAACGCTACTACGGGCAAGTCCTAAAATATTCCCGGGTTTAACAGTGGTGATGTTAATAAACACCTTAGCATGTCTCATTCCAGGAGAACTGGTCCACAGTAGGCGAAGTCTCTCTTCAGCCCACAGTCCAAACCTATGTTTGGCCATCACAAATGATACACCAACTGCTGGTTCTGGCCCCAAAAACGGTTTAGCGCTGCCCTCTCGTGCTAGGTCATCTGCCGCTTCATTCCCAACAACCCCAGAGTGACCTGTGACCCAGATCAGAGAAACTCTGTGTGTTTAATGATTTTTTACAGTCATTAACCAGAGCCGACACCGTTTTCACAACCTGCAGCGCCTGGTCATGTTCTTCACCCCTCTCTCTCTCAAGAAGGATTTTAGCACCCATGTCAATAGCAAATACTTCCGCTAGGAATACAGTACAATACGTACCCAGGTTGTAAGCTTGCTTAATCCGAAGTGTCTGGCAGTATACTTCTGCTCCGACCAATGAGGGTATAAATTCGCCTGATAAGTTTTATCCCTCACGTGTCAAGGTGTAATTCGTCCCTCTTAATTAGTAACCATATCTCGCAAACGTACATAACCACTGGACGCAAGAGTGTTCTATAAAAGCGCTTATCTGAATTTCTATACAGTAGTCGTGACTTAAACACGTGCCGGAGGCTGAAGTATGGTTTATACTTAAATGTTTTATGTATACTTAAATGTTGCCACGTTCTCAAATAAGTATCTGCCGACACTGAATGGTCACCATATCCCAGTCTTTCCTCTAGACATGAGCATATATTTTGTCTTAGTCTCGTCAATACGGAGGCCAGCTGTACACGACTCCAGATCCATTTGTCCTCTGCTTAACAAGTACACATCGTCCGCGTATGCCTGGCATTGAGTTAGCTTTAATTATGTTCCTCCTTGTCGTATTCCGATACTCCCGATGACTCTCTCTAGAGTCAGGTTGAACTAGGCATGAGGATGCCTGAGGTTGCGGCTCACTACAAGCTCTCCCGAGACGCTTCCACACACCTTTATCACACTCCTGGTGTTTGCCAACGTCATCTTCACCAGTCGGATAAGCTTTTCCGGTATCACGAGTATCCAGAGAATATTGATTGATATTGTTGATCCAAGTCGATAATCTCTCAGGGCTTGTTCTAAAAACGGTTGTATGCATCTGGAAAACTCCTATGTTGGTGCTTTGTATGTTGTGTTGAGTAGTAAAATAAGTCTATAATTTTCACATGTCATTTTAACCCTTTCTTATGAATAGTTTTTTTACACTTTTTGAAATTACCAACAATTTAGACATTCAAAACATTATATATTACTAACGAACCTTAAAATTTCTAGCCGCAAAAGTTAAAATCATTTAACGACTATTTACTGTTAATACGTGGAACACACAGAACACCTTCTATTAAATCGTCGTTTATCTTCTCGTTAGTCATTTATCCTTTCTTTAAGGATTACCACGTATGTACATACAACATAACACGGGTTAGATGTTAAGCGAAGCCATTTATTTTTCGACGTCGTACGGAATCATTAAGTCATTTATAATCGCTTTGCATCCATCCGAAAGTAAAGTAAATATATCTGTGAAATTGCGCAATTAGCTCACAACGTTGCTGGTTTTGTCGTTAACGGTTTACCAGATAACAGAAGTTAGTGTGTGTCATGCTGTCATAATTAATAATAACATGATTAATTAGGATTAACAAGTGCAAAACTCTTGAGTTTAATCTAAAATGCGATTAAATAATAATACTAGTTTCTTAATTTAGCTTCATCTATTTTTAATTTCACGTATTATCTTTAAATCATTTTGAACAAAGTACCAAAGAAGAGTTATCCTTTTTTAAATATTAATATTTTAAAGTTTTTTGTCGAAGTTATTGTGTAGTTTCACTTAAACATAGGGATATTCTTTTAAGAAGGAAACAATGGTTTAATGATGAGTGTAGGCTGGTTGTTGAATCCAGAAAACACGCTAGAGCTAAATTGCTGCTGCCTGAGGGGAGAGCAAATAGGGCGATTCTCATTAGAAAGAGGACGGATGCATCGCAGGTATGCCGCACGAAAAAAGGGGTGTGGGAAGTCTAAAACTTCCATGTTCCATGTTCCATGTCAGTGCAATATTGGTTTAGGACAGAAAAGGTAATTTGATAGCGGAGGCGGTAAAGGTGGCAGAACGCTGGGAGCTAAAGGTAGTACGTCGCATATACGGTCTCATTTGTGAGCAAAGCGAATGAAGGATACCAGCTATACGAAGAGTCATCACTTGTTGCAGAGATTAAAAATGCCCGAATTAAATGGCTGGGCCATCTGGAACGTATGCCAGAAGCCCGGGGGTGAAGAAAGTATATCGCCAAAGACCAGAGCAGTTGACGGCTCAACTGCATGATCCCGTAAACGGTGGCAAGATAACGTCGAGGAGGATCTTCGAGTGATGGGAGTCCGAGGATGAACAAGACGTGCACGGGACTGTGATGTATAAAGAGAGGTTGTTCGGGAGGCCATCTTACGGAACCATAGTGCCAATGTGATGATGTTCAATTTACTGGCCTCCACGATTTTGGGCTCTAATTTAAATATAAATGAAAGTCTTGCTCTTTTCAAAACACTTTTTCTTATCAAAACACTTTTTTTTTCTTTTAGTTACTATTTTTTGTTTTTACAGTGGATTAAAGTTATGACGGTTTATTAATATTAGATATTTTAACGATCGGAAGAATTCCGTTAGAAACAATTTATCACTATTTATAAACTTTAATAGCGGTTATAACTTATTTATTAACTTACAAACATTATACGCTGTTAGCATGCTTGGTATTAATATCTTTTTGCTTAAACGATTTTCACTTTAAATAAATACTACTACTTCTAACGACTATAAAAATAATGTAAACAGTTTGTATGTTAGTAATAGTACAAAGTTTCCATGTTACTAGTCATCTAATAGTATGTAAATAGAATAAGCATTCTTTTCCGTCGGTTCCCAAATTAAATTATTAGAATTTAGGGCATATTGTAATAAATTACCATATATCAAAACATTTAATATTGTATTTTCCATTTTATTTCAGGTTTAAATAAACAAGCAACAATAGTAGTTCGAGTAGGCAATAACCGACCAGATCTTGGTACAAATCCAATTTGTAACCGTTTCACTGGTTATCTGGAAGAAGGTCAACCACTTTTTCTTCCTTGCAATCCACCCATGCCGGGAGCATTCGTTAGTGTCCATTTAGAAGCATCAACTCCGACCCAATTATCAATTTGCGAAGCTTTCGTTTACACTGATCAAGCACTCCCGATCGAAAGATGTCCCCAGTTTAGGGACCAACCACCTGGAAGTACCGCTACGTACAATGGAAAATGTTACATTTTTTATAACAGGCAACCTTTAATGTTCCGTGACGCTATGGCATTCTGCAAGAGTCGTGGTGGAACTTTAGTGAACGAAAGTAATCCTGCTTTACAAGGATTCATCAGTTGGGAGTTATGGAGAAGACATAGAACGGATGCTACGGGTCATTATTGGATGGCTGCAGTAAAAGATAACGTTCAAGGTGGTTGGCAATGGTTGGGTGGTGATGAAGTATCCGTTTCATTTTGGAATGGTAAATTAGGATCTGGAAATTGTGCGCGATATGATGGTGCTAAAGGATGGCTATGGTCTGACACTGATTGTAATACTCCTTTAAATTATATTTGTCAACATCGTAAGTAGATAAACATTTTTAAATATTGTAAACTTCAGTTGCTTTGCAGCAAACTTGTCTAATTCATGTTCCTCAGAACCAAAATATACTGTACATATTTAAATTCTGAGGAAGGTCGAGTACATCTTATTAATGAGGAACATGAATGGATTTCATTCCGTTTTATGTTTTGAGTACATTTTCTTTGGCTGAAAATAAATTGCAGAAAATCCCCAATTTATCATAACTTTAATGATAATTTTTCTTTAATTAGAACCAAAAGCTTGTGGTCGTCCTGAACAACCACCAAATTCCACAATGGTATCAGAAAACTTTAATGTCGGTGCTAATGTTGAATACACCTGCGATGAAGGTCATTTATTAGTAGGTCCAAGTGTTAGAACATGTTTAGATACTGGCTTCTATAATGAATTTCCTCCGGTTTGTAAACGAATTCATTGCGGTTATCCCGCTGATATTGCAAACGGAGAATATGCGTTAGTAAATGATAGCGTTGGGTATATGAGTCGTGTTGTTTATTCCTGTTACGATGGCTTTAAAATGATTGGAAGGGCTCAATTAACCTGCGACATCGATGAACGATGGAATGGGCCACCACCAAAATGTGATCGTAAGTAATATAATTAAATAAAAAATGACGAAGAGTTAATATGATTATGATATAGCTATCGAATGTGGACCTCCACCAAGCATTGATAACGGTATTTTCTCACCATCTCTACAAAACCAAGAATATATCTTTAGCACTTCCGTTGAATATTTATGTAAACCTGGTTATTCATTAGTTGGAAATAATAAAATTACTTGTATGGCTAATGGACAATATGATCAACCATCTCCAATATGTCAAGGTAAATATTTTCACCTTAACCCAACACTTTTTTTATACCTACATATTTAACGTTTATAGTTATTATTTCTGAAACAACAACCAACACCCCAAAACCATTAATCGTAACAATTTCGGCACGACCAACGACAATCAGAACGCGTAGGCCAACAAAACCTGTACCAACAACAATAATTAGCGTCGAGGATATCGTAAGAATAACGGAACGAACGAAAAGGCCAACGTACCCAAAAACAACTACGATGGTAACACAAAAAGCGGATACAACTTCTTTCGTATCCACTCCATTCATTCCACCTTCAATATTAGCGGGACATCCCCAAGATAACGAAATCGGGGGAAGTTCTAACATTCAACAGGGAGAATCGCCGAATATAAATGTTCCGTTATCTATCGATGGCGAAAGGAGGGACACTTACGGGGCAAAATTAAATTTGGGAGCGATTATTGCTTTAGGAGCTTTTGGAGGCTTCATCTTTCTGGCAGCTATTATTACTACAATAGTTGTTTTAGTTAGGAGGTAAGTCTATGCAGGGTTTATGGGAAGTTTTGCTATTTTTGCCATGAAGAGCAACGAATGATGGAAGATGTTTTAGATAATCTTCTTCAGTATAAATTAATTTATTTTCTTTTTGATTAAAATATAATAAATCTTATTCAGTATTAAGATATATTCCATCTTTCGTCATTGTACTTTGCTTACTAAAGATTAAAATATAGATCCATCTTATTTATGATTAAGACGTATTCCATCTTTCGTCATTGGTGATATGAGGATTATATTTTTATCCTAAAATGAGGGCTTTTTTACGCCATCCTAAGAATTAATGTGTACTCCACCATTCTTGGGATTAAGATGTAATCCATATGTCCTCATGTAAAATGAATAAAATACATTAAAATGATGGACGGTGATAACAGATATAGAACGATGGATGATTTCCCAAGATGATGCATTACATCATCTTGGGAAATAAAATGTACTACAAACTGCCCATCCTTTAGTTTAAGATAATGTTTAATTTCCATTATGATACTCAATCTTCATATTAAGATTCATTATAATGGCATTGCTTGTAAAGTATTATATTTTAGGCCATCATAGGAAAAAATGGCAACCTGAAAGATTTCATTTTATTATACAAGATGTTTCAGAATTGCACGGCACTATTTTAGGGATGTATTCTTCAGCACAAAATAAACAAAAAAGTTCATATAAACATATGTCTCAAACTAATTTATTACCGAGATATTGAAAATGAAAAATTTTAATTTGGCAATGAAGTGGTCAGAGTAAATGTTGAATGCAATATTGAGCATGATAAATCCACGCTTCTCCGGCAAGTCTTATAGCATCACGGACGGTCATTGATAATTACTGTGTCTTCCACGATGCGATTTTCGAGCTCTTCTTGGGTGCCGATAGACGTTTGTGTGGGTGCCCACATAAAATATTCTAACGGTGTTATCTCAAGACACCGTGGTGGCCATTTCACAGGTCCGTTTCGATCAATCCATCGGTTATCATCATATGGTCATATGTTCTGTTTAAATAACCAGTAGCAAGATGAGAAAAGTGAGAAGGAGCACCGTCATGCATAAACCACATTCCCTGTCTATCGGCAATCGGAATATCTTCTAGGAGCTCATACAAGTTATTTTGCAAAAAATTCAACTAAGATATTACGGAAAGCCGGGGTGGTAAAAAGAAAGGTCCGATGTATGTTGATAATGAGTAATTAAGAGTTTATTGTATACAACAATCTATCTACAATTCTTTACATTATTAAAATATTATTTTCACCCTCTACCCACTTCCTCCATTTCCACACCCTCGGCTCCTCGGCCCAATCATCCCATCATCGACCCCTTTGTCTCCTCACCCTCACAACCATTCTCATCCATCGTTTCCCCTCTCCCCCCTCTCCTAAGATCTGCCCTCGGTCTATCTCCTCCTCCTTCAACTCACTGCACCCATTCAACATATGTTCCAACGTTTCCCATTCCTCCCTGCACAGCCTACACCACCTCTCCTCACCGGCCATCCATCTGTTAGCTCTCTCCTCGTTTCCACAACGGAACCTAGCCACCAACTTCTTCCCTTCCTCATCTCCTTCCAATAACAAGTATCTAGGCAGCCCCTCCGTAATTATGTCCCTGTACCTTTCGTTATACCTTCCCTCTTTTATTTGTGTCCTTCTTTCCTGTCTCTGCACATCTCGGTCCCTATCTCTTAACTCCCTCCACATCTCCCTACCCACCCTTCGTCTACTATTTATCTCAGTTACCGAGTAGCCCGCTCATCTATAATAGTTGTCTCTGTCTCCTTTCCCATAACTGACCTTTCCCTCTCTAATTTCCCTCCAACACTCCCCCAAGATCCCCCAGTTTGGCCTCCCTTCTATTCTTTCTTCATATTTCACTGTCCTCCTGCCCGCCTCCACTCTGACCTTATCCACCTTTCATCACTATATACCCCGATGTTTCTCTCGCCACCCCAAGCACCCATCTCCAATATCTAACTTGCACGTCCTCCTGCATTCTCTGCTCCCTCCACCTTATTCGCCTTTTTTGCCATAGCTACCACATGCAACCCGTCCCTGTTATCCTCCCTAAACACATACCCCAAGTAAGTATACTCCCTAACCTCCTCGATCTCCTTTCCCTCCCATCTCAGTTTTCTGTTCTTTTTCTCCCACCCTTACAAAACCTCATCATCCTTGTCTTCCCCACATTCACTTCCAGCCCCTTCCCCCTAAAATATTTCCAATGTCTTTATCATATCTTTCATCTCCATCGCTTCTCTCGCCATAACCACGATGTCATCCGCGTATGCTAACATATGCACCTTTCTACCTCCCACCACCAACCCTCCCATCTGCCCCTTCCCCAATCTATCCTCCAGGTCCGCCGTATACAATGCAAACAGACTTGCGCTCAGCGGACATCCCTGCCTCAGTCCCTTCGTCGTCCAGAACACGTCGCTCAGCTTATCTCCCACTTTTATCCTAGCCATAGTCTCCCTGTATATTTCCTTCACTCTCGCAATTAGGTGTTCCGTGATTACCGTTGGTAATGAGTAGAAGCAGTCGTATGAGAGTTTTCTTCGTGCCAAGTATGGGTGTTTCGAAAATTAATAATCCCGTTTTTGCTAAAACAAGATTCGTCAGTAACTAGGAATCAGCTCAGGAAGTTATGGTTTCCTGTACATTGTGGACTTAACCACTGGCAGAAATTTCTGCGCTTGTTATAGTCTTCTGGTAATAAATCTTGCACATGTGTAACGTGATATGGATACAACTGTTGCTCACGCAATGTTCGCCATACGTTTGCACTCGAAACGTCGAAACGAAGTGACAACCTTCTGGTGCTAGTACTAGGAGATAACTGAACAGCATCGAATATCAATTCTTCAACGTTACGAGTTCGTCGAAACCTTTGTCTACCAGCGTTTATTCGTGTGGGTTTTAGCGTACCAGTTTCCCTAAGAGGTCTTCTAGTGGGAAATTTTTCATGGTACCTTCGAACAGCAGCATATTCATTTTTATGTACCTCGCTTTAAAGTAACAACATGTCTGTTTGTTCTGCAAAAGTGAACAAATTTGTGGTGTCTCCCATGATAAATAATAAAAAATTAAATTCTTCGTACAACACTTTTAATAGCAAATATATAATCTTCTGTCAAGGAAAAAAAACAATATACGATTGTTGTCCATGGCTACTTGATTAACGCAATACTTTCAGATATTTTATTTCAACTTTAAATACCTCGGTAATAAATTAATTTTGGACAAATGTTTATATGAACCTTTTTGCTTATTTTGTGCTGAAGAATACATCCATAAAATTGTGCCCCGTAATTTTGAAACAGCCTGTATAATATCTTTTATTGTTACTTTCTGTATACAATTAAAACACAATACCTGCAATACACCTGCCCCCTCGTTCTCCCCCTCTTCTTCATCACCTCCGCCATGCACGCTCCCAGTCCATACATCCCTCCCTCAAATCGTCACACCTCAGCGTATGATCAATTGTCTCCCAATCATCCCCATACAATCTGCACATCTCATCATCCCCCATCCAATATTTATCCACCTAGTCTTCGTTACCACACCTAAATCGCGTAATCATACTTTTTCTTTCCTTCTACCCTCCTACATTAAGTATTTCGTCAGTTATTATGACCCCTTATACTTATTATTGTATCTCCACTCTTCCACCTGAGCACGCCATTCCTGCTTTTCCACATCTCTATCTCTACTCCTTCCACAGTGTTGACACTTCCCTTTCCCTTCTTTGTATTTCCTCTGTTGAGTACCCTACTTTGATATAATTTACCCTTCTATCTTGTTTTCCATACTCTCCTTAGCCCAGTCTTAACTTCCCTCCAACAACTATCACACTCCTCACCAGTCCATCAAATATTATTTTCCGCCTGCACAAATCTTTTCCAAATATAAATTCGTTCCCCCAGCTCCATATCTGCCCCAATAATCTATTTGCCTTTCTAACTCTCTGCCTAATATAAGCCCCCGCTCCATTATCCGCTCGAAAAGGAAAGGTTTTTTTTTTGGGTAAGTACGTAAATTCTCTTTCCATTCCCACTTCTCCCTTTTTCGTCTCCTGCCCTTATTTTATATTTGATTTTATATTATTTTCATGCTATAAAAATTCATTACCTATACAGGCTGTCTCACGTAACTGGTTCGTTAGAACCTTTTTAGGTTCCACTATACGTACAGTTTTGAAATTTTAGTAGCATAGTTGGTAATTTTAGTTAGGTTGTTCATTCGGAACATTCGATCATAAATATTTTCAAGGTGGCTGCCACTTCCGGTCTACCGGAAGTAGACCATAACTTCGTTATTTTAAATGGAATGCTATAGTTTTTATTAAGCTTTTGAATTGTACATAAAAAAATATGTTGACTTTGATCAAAGTTATTGGTACTTAGTTTTCGAGTTATTTTAATTTTAAGTTTTTTTTGGCAAATTCAACTATGCTCTTTAAAGCTCCATATCTCAACCAACGTTCATTCAAAAAAGCTCTAAATTGGCACTACTACTTTTCAGATGCTGTCAAATACATTGTCATTTGTTATATCAGAGTATGTTATACAGAATGGTCAAAAATTGAATTACCGTTTCTTTATATTCAATGGCGGGAAAGTCGAAAATTTTAAATGGAACGCCCCATATTGTTTTAGCCTATCAGAAAGGGAATTTAATTCTCTATAAACTATCTACAGTGATACAATAAAGTCTACATACACCCCAGAAAATGATAATATCTCAACTCCTGAAATGTAATTCAATGAATTTTTTAAACGAAGGATATTAAAAGTCTTTACTATTTAAATACAAAGTCGAAACAGTTCGACTTGTGCTACGAAGTGAAGGTTACAACATTAGGAACAATTACAATTACATTACAAACCCGATATTTTCTAGTTCTAGGTCTAGTGTTAGTTCTAGTTTCAGTTCAATAAAAATATACAACATAGTCATATCTTCTGCTAACCAGCGCTACCTACCACTGTCTCTAGAACTAACATTAGACCTAGAACTAGAAACATTCGGGCTTAGCCGCACGTCTCTCAAGACTGCTAAACCCGAATTATTCTAGTTCTAGGTCTTGTGTTAGTTCTAGTGATAGTGCTAGTGTAAAACTATAACTAACACTAGACCTAGAACTAGAAACATTGGGGTTTGGCCGTGCGTCTGAAGACGCACAGCTAAACCCGATACTTTCTAGTTCTAGGTCTAGTGTTAGTTCTAGTTTTAGTTCAATAAAAATATACAACATAGTCATATCTTCTGCTAACCAGCACTACTTACCACTGTCTCTAGAACTAACATTAGACCTAGAACTAGAAACATTCGGGCTTAGCCGCACGTCTCGCAAGACTGCTAAACCCGAATTATTCTAATTCTAGGTCTTGTGTTAGTTCTAGTGATAATGCAAAACTAGAACTACCACTAGACCGAGAACTAGAAACAATCGGGTTTAGCCGCACGTCTCTCAAGACGGCTAAACCCGAATTATTCTAGTTCTAGGTCTTGTGTTAGTTCTAGTGATAGTTCTTGTTTTAGTTCAATAAAAATATGCAACATAGTGATATCTTATGCTAACTACGCTACTTACCACTGTCTCCAGAACTAACATTACACCTAAAAGTAGAAACTTTCAGGTTTAGCCATTTTAAGAGATGGTCGGAAAAACGGAATGTGTTTAGTTCTAGGTCTAGTGCTAGTGTTAGTCTAGTTTTATTTGTTAATCAGCGCTAGATAGTTGTATATTTTTGTTGAGCTATAACGAACACTGATAGACTTTTTTTTTAGGACTGTATGTAGACTTTTTTGAGTTAAAGATATGATTATGTTTTGTGTTCCCCTTGATTAATAACTTATATAGTTTTTATGTAAAATATGGAAATAATATGGACTTCTTACATGTTTTGTTAAAAAATGTCATACAATTACATTTCGGGAGCTGAGATATTATCATTTTCCGGGTTGTATGTAGACTTTATTGTATCACTGTATAAACATTCCTATAACTATTTATTGTAGTTTCCCTCATATAGGGACATTTATCAAAACATGCACGGAATGCAGCTTTTTTTATTAGAAAGTCATGGAATTTGGACAGTTTTTGATCCATATTTATCATTATTATTATTGTTGTCATTAGTTACATTTAACGACGAGAGAATCTATTTGATAGCACCTGAAGAGTAATCGTGCCAATTTACAGCTTTTTTGAATGAACAGTAGCTGAGATAGGGGGTTTTAAAGAGCATGGTGAAATTTGCCACAAACAGCTTAAAACCAAAATAACTCGATAACAAAAAACGCTAGGTACCAATCACTTTTATCAAAGTCTACCTATTTTTTAAGTACAATTAAAAACTATAGCATTCCATTTAAAATTACGAAGTTATGGTCTACTTCCGGTATGTAAGTAAAATATTTTAGATCGAATGTTCTGAATGAACATGGGTTGCCAAAATTTCAAATCTCTACGAATAGTGGAACATGAAAAAGTTCTAACGAACCAGTTACGTGAGACATCCTGTATAAAATAATAAGTACTATAATAATAATATAAAACTTTCACAAAATATTCAACATTAAAGAAGACATTTATGTATGCAATATATAATACTGTATAAACAATGATTAAGTGTAGTAAATTTCAATTAATGGATTTTGGATGGTAGTTCAAAGTAGTTCATCTAATGTATTATAGATCACTTACTGCTTCATTAAAGCTAAATCTTAACACACATTTTAAGCACATTAATTATACATGTAAATAAGTTAAAATTGTCTTTAGGGGACATTAGAAACCTTTTTAAGATTTTATACATATTCCTTCTTTTGTACTAGCACTATTTCTTTAGATCTTTAGCCTTTAGGCAGATCTTTACTTTTTTTATTAAGTTTGAGTATGTGTGAAAAAAATAAATTAAAAATTGGTTCGTTCTGATTGTCTTGCGGTGGCAGTGCGGGCGGCGACTCGGCAAGACGGTCAAAACGTCGCCTGCCATCACCGAGCGCGATGCCATCACGATGGTACACCCTACTGGCTCTTCCTTTTCCCGACCAGCAGATCGGACGGCGGGAGTTCACGCGCCACTACAGGTCGCAACGGGCCGGATACTTTTCAAACCCTATCTAACAAATTCCAATAAACATTTCCAACTACCGACCCAACAAATCGCCCATGAATACAAGTTACTATAAGCCAGGTACGGATGCTAATCAGTCAACAAATATTTCTTAGTACTTTTTATGTGATATGAAAAGTCCGCACTGCACCGCATTATTAACTATCCGTTAATTTTATTATGCATAAAAATAATCTTAACACAACTTACCTCTCTATACAAGTAAATAAAAATCTTAAAAAAATTCTGTAAGTTGTCTTAAGATTTAATATTTTAAATAAGCTATGGTCTAGATTCAACAATGATCATAGTTACGAATTTAAAAAACGGAAATGGAAATATCACACAAATACTAAACACTCTTCTTCTACGTATTTATTTAGTTTTTACCTTTCTTCAACTGCTAAAGATGTCTTTCCTCGTCCTTGACACGCTTTCTTCTTTTCTTACCCTCCTTTACATCTCCACGCCCGATTCTCCGTGTTTCCCAATGTATTTAAATCGTGACGATGAACAGATAAATTGACGACTGTTTTTAATTACTTTTTATTGCAAACGCAAATTACAAAAACAAACAAATATTATATTCATAACTTTAAATCTAGTTATAAATAGGAAAAAATGTATTCTTCTTTTCTAAAGAAAAACAGGTTCCGTTAATGAGAGAAAGCAATAAAAACTTTGTTGTAAAGGTATGTACCGTGTCGTAATTATCTGAAAGATACGTGAACCCACAGATATAGTACAGAACCTGAACTCGAGCGCACACTTTCTAAGGATAACCACAATTTTCTCTTTTGTGGACCGTCAGTAAATTATTATTATCATCGTTAAAAGTGCACTTTAAAAGACATTCCTAATCGCGTCTTTAACTTTACGATATGGATAAAACTTTGGTAAACACCATTACCCGTTGACTTTAAAGATTATAAAGCGGTATTGAGTGGTAACTTCATTTGGATGTAAATTGCTTTTCTCAAATAGTTTAACGGTAGCCAGTCGTCATTCTAAAGATTTAATGTCAGGTACACTTCTTGAATAGCTTTTTGATGGTTAGGTCTAAAAATAAGATTAATTTGTGAAATGCTTTAGATTAAAATCGTTTAGCAATCTGATTTCTATACAATCTTAATTATTTGGTTACTGTTACTCGCAGTTATAATCAATTTTAACACCGCATATGTCTCGGTAAACGGTTTTATAATTTTATTTTATACGGTGTTATGTATTTTTTATTGAGATTTTATAATAGTTTTTGGGTACTTTTAAACATATGTTAATTAATTAAAGAAATTAATCATTGAAGATACAACATGTACACGCAGCCTACATGTATACATTGGCAGAGTATATGCACATAGGTTATTTTGAATAGATTATTTTGATAGATACAGCTTACAAATTTTTATGTTATTCAAATTGAGACATATAAATAAGCAATTTACGTTATTGGAATCAGATTCAACCTTATCATCAGCCACCAGCTATCAAAACATAAAACAAGATATACAATTCAGATTAAGTACGACTTGTAGCAGTAATGAAGTTCATAAAAACCAAGAAACTATATCTTAATTCTTCTTCTTGGCAAATAAACATTGGAATAAAATATACTACATTGAAGTTACGAAGAAGAAATAGTAAAATAACATAAATGATGAAATCGGATGATGTATTCTTTTTGATTAACCGTTTGGATATCAAAGGGTTTTGAAAAATCACTGACGAAAAATGTCCCCCATCAGTTGTGTACAGCGTTCAAAATATACTGGTACTTTTCGATAAACAATTTGAAGAGCGTAATCGTACTGCTTGGAACTCAAACGGTTAAAATGTATGAGTGATACAATGTAAAATCTGAGTTCGTCTTAATCCTAAGAGATGCACAAATTCTTCATTATTCTTCATTAAATTAAAATAAACTAATAGAATACTTCTATACAACTTAATAGGCTAGAAAAAGGAATATCTTCCTTAATCAATGCGAATATAATAACATTACAGCCATCTATCTCAGAATAAAGATGTACCCAACATTTATATGATTTTGACCACTACTGGCTGATGACAAGGTTAAACGATCTGACTTGCTAGATCCTTGGTTAGAAGCCCTACAGTTCACCCAATGCAATCCACTCCAATCCTAGCACCTCCTTTTCCTTCCTTTTCTTAATTACAACAATCTAACAAAACTTATTCAAAATAACGTAAAATTATAAAATGTCTAAATCAATGACAATGAACAATTATTTTCCTCATAAAATTCCAACAATATCATGCTATATTTTGCTAATATTGCACCAAAACGCTTTTAAAGCTAAAACCAACCACCTCAGCATTAATTATATTCAAATCAACACAAACCCAAATTTAAATTTAAAACCACTTTTTTATAATCTAAGTTTTATTACTTTTTTTTTAGAAACCGAAGTGCAAAACATTATAGACACAGAGCATCCCCAGATTGTAACACAGTGGCATCGTTTGATTCGTCCAGTTCAGAATCGAGAAACGGCCTAAATCGATACTATCGTCAAGCATGGGAGAATCTGCACGAATCGGCAGGAAGCAAAACAGGCCTGAAAGTAGCTGCCAATGGTAATCATCAACCGCTAAAACGGAAGGAAACCCTCGATGAACCGTACAGAAATGGAGAACGACAACGGGACGGTTCGGAACTGGTCGTATCCGATTCCACGGCTTTTAACGGCAGTGGAAAATCGGCTGAAAAGAAGCGCCATCATCATCATCACCATCACCATGATTTAAGACAGCATAAAGAAGGAAGGGAGTGGCGCGAATCTAGGCCGCCGCCACAACAACATAGGGACCAGAAGAGATATTGACAACCTTGCATGATTATTACAGTACAATTTGAGGAGGAGTAAATAATAATAATAAACGAATTACACATCTAATTTTGAAATAAAATGGATTTCTTTCTATTTATTTTTAGTCAACTATTTAGCGTTTACTGGATTATGATTTGAAATATTTTTTGTATATATTATTATCATTATTATTAATTTGATGCTAGTTTTTTTTAAATTTTTTGCATTATTATTTAAAAGATATTTAAAAAAGTTAAGTAAAACTATAATAGTTGAATCCCTTGGCCTTTCTTTTAATGTAATATACTCGAGTTAAACTTCAACTATGTACTTTTAAAGAATGAAGTAATTTACCAAATGCGGTGGTCTAAAGTAAGGCTAATGAGATTCACGTAGAGCGACTTCGTATTAAAAAACGACTGATTATTTGGTGGAGATGTATAAAGACCAAAATTTAACTTAATTTTTAATTATCAATTCACTTATATTTCATGTTTAAGTTATTCATAGCGTAAACTATTGATATCTAATTATCTAATATGTTAGATGGGAAAGAACCACTCGTTAGTGCCATTTGAGAAAGGCAAACCCACATCTTATCAACATCTTAAATATTATTTTTATCGCACAGAATTTTTCAATTTCTATTTTTTATTCTCGTTCTTTCCATAAAAAATATCTCTTAAGGTACTATCTTTAAGTTATATAAGCAAAAATGTAATATATGTTGGATTAATATATTTATGAACATTTAATAGCAATTTTGTTTCTTATTAACACTTAACATACTACGAGATTATTATTCTTAACAAAAATACAAAACAGCACAGCACAATTCGGTATGTCTTATGGTAATTATATTTGGACTCATTCCAAATATTATTTCCTATGGTGCAAAATAAAAACTTTCTTGTTTTCATAAACGTAACCAAGAATCAATTAGTTCGGCAATTTGCTGACGAGCATTAGTTAATTGAGGTAAATCTTGATCGGATTTCGGGTACATATTCGCACAATGTGCGGTTCCTTCAATGTAAATAGCTGGGGCGCCTTGACTTCGTGTTTTAATAATCCCCAAAGCGTGCCAAGGATCAATTGAACCATGTACGAAAACAACGTTGGTTACGTCGATGTCGAAAGCTCCATATATAAGATTGGTTCGATCGACGGCGTCATTTAAAAACGTTGCATTGTATTTTGAACCAAAAATGTCCACGCATTGTTGTATAAAGAAATCGACGGGGAATTTATCGCCAAAAATTTGTGGTGAATATGTTGACGTTTGGAAAAACCCAAATTCTGTACAGGTTTGATAAGTCCATTGTCTTCCTAATGTATTTAAAAAAAATCAAATTTAAGTTAAAAGTACAATAATAATAATAATTATACTCTGGTGATGACTTTTTTTAAATGTTTATTTCTCTAAACTAGTTTCGTGCACAAGCCCTTCCTCAGTAGAATTAGTAAATAATTAATAATTATGAACACAACGGATTACATCAAAAGAACCGAAGATTTTTTGGAGCAGAACAAATTCAAAACAATCAAAAAGAATCCAACTAATAATTTTATTTTCACAAAATAACAAAACAAATACTCAAAGAAAATAAAGAAACTATTACAAGAATGATTGGTAATTACAACAGCATCCTGCCTATGAATCCCTGAATACCTCGACTATACGCGTTACCAAAAATCCATAAGAACAATTTTCCCATAAGACCCATAATAAGCTCGATCAATTCAAGTACTCATAAACTTTCGAAAACAATATTAAATTTTTTCAATAAGAATGTAAATTTTATACCTAAATACACCATCAAAAACAGAAATCATTTACCTGATTTAATTGAAAATTTATGTCTTCCAAACTCCTTCAAAATGATATCATTTGATATAACTAATCTTTACACAAATATTCCTATTTTGGAAACATTAGAACTCTTGGAAAACATAATAAAAAAATAATTGAAAGACAAAAAAGAAGCAGAAAGTTTACAAAAACTATTCAAATTATGCTTAGATCAAAATTTCTGTGTATTTAACGATAAATATTACCAATTTGAAGATGGTCTACCCATGGGTTCCCCACTTAGCGGTTTATTAGCGGACATATTTATCGACAAATTAGAATGTTATAACATCCTAAATAAAACCAACCCATTTCAAGAAAATATTGTTGTATGGATCAGATATGTGGATGATATCCTGGTATTTATCAAAGATGAACAACAAATACCTAAGCTACATAACTACATAAACACAATACACCCTAAAATACAGTTTACGCTAGAATCGGAAGAAAACAATAGACTGAACTTCCTTGACTTCACACTAATTAGAGAGAAAAATTTAATAAAATATGAAATATTCAGAAAAACAACTCAGACAGATTCTATAATTCCTTATTTCTCGCTCATTTCTGGCCGCCTCTAAAGCTGCAAAGGGCACCTGGTTTCGACGTTCCTGAAGTCTCTGAACGGATCTTCGTCAATGAACATCTCTCTCCTGAAAATAAGAGACTGCTGAAACTTACTAGGGACGCGGCCCGTTCTAAAGGCTTTAAATACAATTGGGTGTCACAGGGGTCAATCTTCGTTCGGCGCAACGATAAGTCTAAGGCTGTTCCAATTAAATCCCTATCTGATCTTGAAAGACTCGACGGAAACTAATGGAACTGAGTGTTTATTACCAGAACGTACGCGGTTTAAGATCCAAGACTAGTGACTCTTCTTGAAGACTAGTGACTCTGAATTCGACCTTGTTTGTCTCACTGAAACTTATTTGAATAGCTCAGTTCATGATGGCGAATTATTTGGCGCTCAATACACCGTTTTCCGTCGGGACCGTGAGTCCACAGTGTCAAGCAAAAAAGATGGTGGCGGCGTTTTGATCGCTATAAGATCAACAATCGACTGTTTTAGGCTTGCTGAAACTGCGTCCGCTGAAGATCTGTGGCTTTCTGTGCAGTGTGGTGGTACTCGGTTGCTGCTTTGTTGTGTTTATCTCCCACCCGCGGACTTTGACTCGCTTGACGCATTGCTGGTAACTTTGCATCGCGTTTGCGAACACTACCCTGACCATAAGATTTTGATTTTTGGTGATTTTAATCTACCTCATATTTCATGGTATTCGTCGCAATCGCTTGGTTTATTGCCATCGAGTGCCAATGATGCTCGTTCACGATTGTTTTTAACTTCGTTTTCTTATTGTAATTTTGAGCAGTTCAACGGCGTACGTAATGCTAACGACAGAACCTTGGACCTTATTCTTAGTAACTCCTATAACATCTCTGATTTTTCTCAAAGCCTTGATCCACTTTTGCACGCGGACACCCATCATCCTGCTTTAACTTTTTCAATTAAATTTAATTTATTGCATTCACTCCGCGAAAACTGCTCGCGTAAATATCTTATTCACAAGACTAACTATACAGGTACCCGTACATCACTCGCGTCTGTTGACGGGGCGCGGCTATTACTCACCTACCAGTTGACGAGGCGCTTGAAGTGTTATATTCAGTTGTTCGCGGAGCAGTTGATGAATTTATTCCTCACAAAATTACTTTTAAATGCAAATTTCCTAATTGGTATTCCCTGCCAACGATCAAGGCCATTAAGGAAAAATTAAAATTTCACAAAAAATGGAAGACTACAGGTAATCGCCTTCACTATGAAACCTTTCGTCTGCTCCGTACTCGGTCTAAAACTTTAATTGCAGCTGATTATAAGCTATACTTACAGGCTACACAGACTAGCTTGTCCGATAATCCTAACAGTCTGTGGTCTTTTATTAAATCGAGGAAAAAAGGCAGCATGAGTATTCCCAGTAAGATGTCTAGTAAGATGTATGGTGATCGAGTGGTTGAAGGTGGGGAGGAAATTTGCAAACTGTTTGCTGACTATTTTGGTTCTGTCTTTGTTGATGGAACTTTGGATGATGTCTGCGACTGCTCTTTTTCGGGAATCGCACCTTGGTTCTCATGTGGTGATATTCTACAGGCGTTGTCCTAGAGCGGGTGCGGGTCCGGACGGCCTACCCGGCGTGCTTTTTCGTAAGTGTGCATTAGTGCTTACTGAACCACTTTTTTATATTTTCAATACTTCTCTGCGAACGGCTATTTTCCCATCCGAATGGAAAAAAGCTCTAATACTGCCCATCCATAAGGCTGGCGACCGAAATTTAGTCGTCAACTACAGACCCATTTCTATTCTGTCAATTGCCTCTAAGATCTTTGAACGTCTAGTTTACGATCTGCTTTTCTTTAAGGTCAAATCTTACATAATCCCGAAGCAACACGGCTTTTTTCGTGGCAGGTCAGTGGAGTCTAACCTAATCACATTTTCTAATTTTTTACTGAATGCTCTAGACATAAATTACCAGGTGGATGCTGTATATACAGACTACAGTAAGGCCTTTGACAGAATAGATCACGGAATTCTTTTTAAGAAACTCTTTAATTACGACATCCCTGTTGGTTTAATTTACTGGTTATCTTCTTACATTTCTAGCAGATCACAAGCTGTTACCATTAATGGCTATCGCTCTTCCTTCAAAGAAATATTTTTTTTTGGGACCGTTGTTGTTTCTGCTATATATCAATGACATTCATGCGTGTTTTCATTACTCCAAGTTTCCGCTATACGCTGACGATAGCAAAATATTTACCACGATTTGTTCACCTGACGACTGCGAAAAATTGCAGGAGGACTTGGTCCGATTACAGGCTTATTGTGTAAACAACAATCTTTTCATCAATCACGATAAATGCACCAAAATTACATTTACACGCAAACGCTATCCCATTGTTTTCGATTATTCCCTCGGCCCTAATACTCTTATACCATCTGATTGTGTTCGAGATCTTGGGGTTCTCTTTGATTCTAAACTTGCGTTTTCGGCTCATATCGATTTTATTGTTAATAAGGCCTCTCGCATGTTCGGATTTATTTGTCGTGTCTCCCGTCCTTTTACTAACTTATCCTGTATTCGTTCTCTTTACTTCGCCTTCGTTTCTTCTATCCTTAACTACGCATCTTCTGTTTGGAACCCTCAATACCATATATACATTGATCGACTAGAACAAGTTCAAAAACGTTTTTTTCGGTACCTATCGCGAAAACTCTACTTACCATACTGTGATTACGCACAGCGATGCTTAATATTTGGAGTCCCTCAACTCTCTTCCAGGCGCATTAGTAACGATTTAATGCTGCTTTATAAAGTGAGTAACGGCACTGTTGACTGCTCCGCGATTCTATGTCAGTTACAGTTTAGGATTCCTGTTCGACCATCCCGTGATTTATTAGTATTCTCCGTGTCTTGTACTAATACAAATGCGTTTTCTAACTCCGTGGTTCTTCGTCTCATGTTTTCTTTTAACAATTTTTGTTCTGATTTAGACTTGTTTGAGTAGCAACCCGGTCTACATTTAGGAAATTGGTTAATGACCTCCCATGTGCATCTCGTGCGCCGTTTGACTTGCGACGTTAATTTTTTTTTGATTGATTTTTTTTTTAATATTTTTGATTATTAGTTTTGCTTAAGTTTCACTTTTTTGTTAAATTTTATTTCTGTTGCTATTTTTTGTTAACCTGTTTGATATTTTTTTTTGTTACTTATTGCTAAATTCTTGTTTTTAGTTTATAATATTGTATATTTTTAGTGGATGCTTCGCTGGGCTTGTCCCGTCTACATCCCAAATAAAAATAAAATAAAATAAAATGATAACACCCACAAATTATCAGCGTTTCGGTCATATTTATTCAGAGCCTTAAACTCAAAATTAACTCAAGAATCCCTAGAGAAAGAAATACATATAATACATCAAATGGCCAAAAATAACTCCTTCCCAAAAAAGACTAATTGAAAGTTTAATTATGATAATACAGGAGAAACACAATAAAAATAGTATCACCACATTAAAAGAAAAGCCAGAACAAAATAATATAACATATAGAACTATTACTTTCCCGGGACATCTATCACATAAAATAAAAAGAATTTTCCATCCTAATGACATTCAAATATCGATCAAGACTAAAAATACAATAAAAAACATATTATGCAATAATAAAGAAAAGACAGATATACTACAAGAAAGCGGAGTTTATCAGTTAAAGTGCAACACATGTTCAGCCACCTATATAGGCGAAACCGGCCGAATGGAATAGGTCAAATTTTGGACGACATCTCCTATTTAATAACCACGATTTTGATGAAAAGAAAGATATTAAGTTATTACATAAACTACAAAAAGCAACCTTATGGAAATACCTAATCGAATCATACGAGATCAATAGATTTATAAAGAATAATCCGGAAGTCATTAATCTTAATGAACAAATCATCCCCCTACGAAGACCGCTCTACACCTATTTGAGAAATCCATACCCAGAAAGAGACAAATCAGATTAACTGATTATGATTGATATTAGATTTTATTTGATGACCTAATGTAGTTCAATTAACTTGAATTTGATCACAACACTTATAACGACATCTAGTTTTCCATACTTTAAAATGAAAATACAGGTCATTTTTGGCGTTTTGTGTCATAACCTTGATGTTCAGTAGTTGTTCCTGCTTTCGCTAACCAGTTTTAATGTTTTTTAATGTGATTTAGTTTTGAGTTTTCGTTATTGTTCCCGTAAAATCAAATTCAGTCGAATATAATGTTTTTATACTTTGATTTATGTACAAATTTGTGTTTAAATGTAACTTAAAAGTTTACTATTTGACGTAAGTCCATATATCCAATATTATTAAATAACACTTAAAACTTTATTTTTAATCATACAAACTTGTAACTTAATTATAATGTGTTTTGTTTGTTAATTTTGTAGATTCTAATTCTACTGACGAATGGCTTGTGCCCGTAACTAGTTTAGAGAAATAAACATTGAAAAAAGTCATCACCAGAGTATAATTTGTTCTTTGATCTTTCATATTACAATATAACATAGATGTGAAGTTAGCTGTAGATTTAAAAATGACAAATGTGAGTCGAAGTTAAGTATTCGTAATTGTTTTTAGATCAAATACGAAAGAAATCGTTTTCTATTTTTATGGAAAATCGATTTCCTTCAAATACTTGAGATGTTAGGCTGTTAAATTGATTTAATTCAAACACATTTCCACATAATTTTTTTACACCAAATACAGAAGAGAGAAATCGATTTTGGTCAATAGTAATAGTATAGTGGTTCAGAGTTTAACGACTATAAGTCCATATTACATATTATGTTTCATCATACAATGGATATCGCTTATTATTATTAGAAATCTTACCATATCTATGTGCATGTTTTTATAATATGTTTTCCGAACAATCTTCGTTTATCACAGTGACCTGAGGATAAGTAAAAGGATTTCTCGTTATTAATATGATAGGTATCATAATAAATAGGTGTAAAACACAAATATTAACGGTGTATCGCTCACCACTTGGAAATTTCGAGGTGTTTCTTGATAAATTACTATATCATAAAATACTGGCAGGTGATTTTAATGTTCATTTTCATGTGGTTCCTGGGGATTCCGTTCGGTTATGCAGCCTCTGTGAATCCTACGGTCTCAGACGAGTAAACTTTGAGGCCACTCACAATCGCGCGTGTCTAAACAATATATTCACAAATCTTACTGATTGTTCTGTCTCCGTAATTGAGCCTTGCATGTCTCATCATCTGGCAATTTCATTTTATTCTAAAAGTCAAAATGAAATTCACATACCAAAAACAAGATTTAAACATAGACCTCTAACTACACAAGGATTGTATCAGTTTTATAGTGTTCAAAACATTGATTTTTCTTTTGTTAATTATAATCAATGCGTGAATGAAAAATTCTGTAAGTTCACGCAATTACTTACGAATTCCCACGACTTGTGTTTTCCAGAAAAGACTCTTTTAGTTGAAAATAAATGTGTAAACCGCAACGTACGTTGGATTTATTTTAATTTATAAGATTTAATTTAATAAGGCAAAATAAGAATTATATATTTTAGGAAAATGGAAAGCGAAACCATTGGGATACAGTGCGGAGAAAAAAATTGTTGATTGAGTAGAATTGGAAACATAAGCGGTCAAATGTCCTTTAGAATAGGGATTAGAAACGTCAAAATGGCAAGACAGAAGACCTTCATCATCCGGGCCCTCGATACAACTGTGGTGGAAGAAGATGTGTAGGAGAACTTAAAACTACAATTGATAAATAAAAAGAAATGAAAATGGATATAAAAATCGTATTAAACGAAAACTTAAGCAGAAAGAAAGCTTTAAAATAGCCTTACCTGATTACTAGGGCACGGAACTTTTGGAACAGAATGATTCGATTTCCCCCCTCCACTTGTTCTCATTGGCTAGTTTTCTGGGTTTGTTTTCTAGGAAACCACTGAGAACAAGTGGAGGGGGGAAATTGTATCCTTTTGTTACAAAAGTTCCGTGCCTTACTGATTACTCTGTAGATGAATTGGCACCTACAAAGTTTCCCACAAAATTAATTAGTATAAATGGTGGCTACACTTCAGATCAAGTATGGAAGGCAGATGACCGGTTTTTTGAGCATAGTTAAATTCCAATCTTTGTATTTTGTTTCAATGCCTCAGAAGATCCGATGTTAAAAACCCTTACTATTATTATTGAGGAAAATCGCTTTTCGTATTTGGTGTAAAAAATAACAAGAAACAGCTTTTAAATCAAAACAATTTCAAAACGGTGATCATTCTCATTTTACATTTTTAAATCTATGGTTGAAATTCATTGCTTACTTCACACCCATGTTTAAGGTTTTGCTACAAAAATTTTAAAACACCAAGAATATAAAAACAAAGATCTTACCTCCTTCAGACGATTCAGCCTCCCAACTAATATTTCTCATTTCATCAATCATTTTGGAATATTTATAATCTAAACATTTTTGATCATAAGCGTTCAATAATAAATGATTAACACTCGCTAATCTATCAATTTGAGGACCAATACTATCATTTACCATTATATCACATAATGTGTCTAAGGTAATGTTGTTTTTTGATGATTTTCCTATTCGATTATCTTTATTGTACTGGACGATTCCGGCGAAATTTCCAGATAGTGTTTCAAAGAAGTTTGCAATATCATTGGTATTCGAAACTGATTGTTCTATTGGATCACATAATTGAAATAATTTATTGATGTTCCTTTGACCGATCATATGACGAAGGAGAATTTCTATTTGGTTGGTACCTTGTTTTACTGCAGAAACGCAGCCTTCACTATGAGTTTCTAAAGCTTCATCAACTACTTTAAAGTATTCTAAAAATGTATTCAAAATTAGATTAATTCTGAAGTAAACAGTATTGGAAATACACGATGCGGTGAAATGGTTGGACTTAATTTCATATCACAAAATGTGCTTTCGATTCTTGTGATGTCTATCTGGAAGTGTGTCAACTAGTGATGGAACGGATAGTGATTTTGCGAAAAGACGGATATCGGATATTCGGCATTCCCTTCGGCCGGATATCCGGTTATCCGGCATAACTATCCGGCCATTATGGTTACAATTTGTGGTGCATTTCTAAAGTGATACCCTACATTGCCACATTATTGCGATATTTGTATAAAAATGAAATTAATAAGAAAGCTGATAAAATATGTCAACTTATTTGGACCCAAGATACAAAATGAACTCTTTCGATGCTGATTTAACTAACGAAGCAACTCTAAAAAGAGGATACTTTAATTAATAATTGGCGATAATTCCACAAGGATCCTTCAAGAAATGAATTTTATAGCGAATTTTGCAAGTTATCGTTGAAAATTGCAACATCGAATATTTTATCAAAACGTCAAATATTGTTTTCTCAAAAACTAAAAGTTATTTTTCAAAACGTGTTGGTTCATTGGAAAAAGGACAGTTTTATTACCATTTTGGGAAATTTTCATACTCATATTCCAAGAAATCGATTTTATACGAATTATTAAAATTTAATCGGCGAAAATTGCAAAATTCGAAAAAATTGTCGATTATTTCAAAAATTTATTTCTCAAGAACTGNAAGGAATGTGGATTAAGGTTCGTTTTCTTTAGAAATGTCCAATAACCACTATTATTGTTTTATTTCATTCAATTACATCTGGTTAACAAGTGAAAAATATCAATTACCAAAAAAATAAACTCTTTAAATAGGAACTTAGCTTAAAAATAAAATGTTTTAATTGATTTATTGCTACAAATACATTGTTAGATGTTTTGGCACTTTACCTACATATTTAACGATTTATAAGGTACTTTATCTTTAATTTTAAAGCTTAACTTATATAACATTTTTTATTAATACTGGATGAAATAGGGAAACAGATGATTTATTATTTTAGTGAATATTTTAATATCTGTTTCACCATTTCATCTCGTTTAGTTATTAATAATTTTTATAGTAAGTACACATTTTTCTAATTTATTTAAATAGAGGGGTTTTTCTGAAATTCTCCGTTAATAATAGCAATAATTAATTTTTTACTTCACTTTTATTTATTATTTTTTTAAGTAACGTTTGCTCCCAATGATTTGTTCCATTTGAATAACTTGTAAGTTTTGATTAACGAATTAAAGCTTTCGATTGAAATTTGGATTTTCCAATATTTGTTTTATTATTTTATCTTACATAAAATATCTCACATTCAAGCTTTTTAATTGACAAATACTCATAAACAATATTCTAATATCAAATTATACATGTACTTGATTATTGATAGTTAAATACCGCGCAAACAAATTTTCATTTAATTTAACAACAAATTTCAATCAAAAGCCGAAATTTACATTGATATGTATTATTTTTTTAATCTCTAAAATCGACTAGAAGACACTAATTAACTTCTATTAATTGGAATCACAAGAAGTGTGTAAATTACAGCAATTTTGCCTTCTTCTAACTTGATACCAAATATTCTTATAATTCACTCTTTTTTACAATTTTTTTTAAATGTTGAATATTAAGCAGTTAATTTCAAATCTAGTTTTATCATTATAATTTATTATTAAAATAAAGTCTATTTTATTTTTATCAACGAGGCAAGAAAACCCTAGAAAATGTATGTCAGTAAACGCTTAGTTTTTAAGGTTAATAAATACAATCTCCAGGTGTTTTTCAAATTTTCTAATTCCTAACATACTTTTATTTTTTGCGATTATTGCAAAATCATGCAATCCTGGGTACGGTGCTAGAATTAAGATAGCAACAATGCAATCAAGAAAGATCCATTGTATCTTTGAGCTACCTCGCACCATAACATATTAACAATAACTTGCTGCCTTTTCGGACTGAACTGTCGCCTTCAAGACAAATATTGCGCAGTTGCTGCCAACATCTAAACTAGTGATGGAACGGATAGTGATTTTGCGAAAAGCCGGATATCCGGTTATCCGGCATATCTATCCTGCCATTATGGTTATAATTTCTGGTACATTTCTGAAGTGATACCCTACATTGCCACATTATTGCGATATTTGAATAAAAATGAAATTAATAAGAAACCTGATAAGATATGTCAACTTATTTGGAACCAAGATACAAAATAAACTTTTTTGATGCTGATTTAACTAACGAAGCAACTCTAAAAAGAGGATACTTTAAGAAATAAATTTTATAGCGAATTTTGAAAGTTATCGATGAAAATTGCAACATCGAAAATTTTTTCAAAACTTCAAATATTGTTTTCTCAAAAACTAAAAGTTCTTTTTCAAAACGTGTTGGTTCAATGGAAAGAGGATACTTTTATTAACATTTTGGGAAATTTTTATACTCATATTCCAAGAAATCGATGTTATACGAATTATTAAAATTTAATCGGTGAAAATTCCAAAAATCGAAAAAATGTCGATCATTTCAAAAATTTATTTCTCAAGAACTAAAAGTGATTTTCCAAAACGGCTTTTTGCATTAAAAAGAGGATACTTTAATCAATAATTGGTGATATTTCCACAAAAATCCTTCAAGAAATGATTTTTATAGTGAATTTTGAAAGTTATCGATGAAAATTGTAACCTCGAAAATTTTATCGAAACTTCAAATATTGTTTTCTCAAAAACTAAAAGTTATTTTACAAAACTTGTTGGTTCATTGGAAAGAGGACACTTTTATTAACATTTTGGGAAATTTTCATACTCATATTCCAAAAAATCGATTTTATACGAATTATTGAAATTTAATCGGCGAAAATTGCAAAATTCGAAAGAATTGTCGATTATTTCAAAAATGTATTTCTCAAAAACTAAAAGTGATTTCTCAAAACGGCTTTTTGCATTAAAAAGAGGATACTTTAATTAATAATCGAAAGTGATAACAGCGACAGTTCTATTAGTAATGAATGTGATGATGAATCACAAGCAAAGAGAAGAAATCTAGACGAAACTGCAACAAGGGATTTGATATATTTTGATATATTGTATTGGGATTGTTACAATGAGGTTGCTAATGATAAATAAAGTTGCATACAATGAAAAAAGTCCTATTAGTGTTGTACTTGATTATTATCTGCAGTGTCCAACACCTAAAAGAGATACTAATTCCTGTGAATGATGGAGTTTTTAATATAGGTTTTAATTAGGTTTAGACGGATTTTAAAAAACGACCGGATAGGCCAGATAGGCCGGATAGTTGCCAGATATCTGTTCCACCACTAGTGTCAACCATTTTCCCACACACTGTGTAAGCTAAAACACGACTAAAAACAATTTTTTATTATATTTATAGAAGCTTAGGAAAATGAATCCTGTTTAATTAACAATTATTAGACTAATTTTTTACTGTACCTTTAAAATCAACTTCAGCTAATAAAGGTCCACTTGCAGACATAGCTCCATGAACCAAATGAGGATATTTCATTCTCATCCAAGCTGCTAATGAACCAGGGTAAGAACCACCAAACACAATCCATTTTACATCTTTGTTTAATTTATACTCAATGTTCATAGCTTGAATGAAATAAGCTAAATCAGCTAGAGCTTGCTGGCTTGTTAAATACTGTAAATTTTTTGTGCTTAAATCCCTGTAATCACAATTCTTTTATGAAAAAGGAAAACTACATAAATTATTAAAATTACTCTGTTGGATGACTTTTTCCGTAATATCTATGTTCTAATTGGAAACATAGTGCCCCAAAACTCCTAGCATAATCAATCCAGGTTCCTTGAGTCATCCATTCTGCAGAAGCTTCTCCTTCACCGCCAATCATTAGAAATATTGGAGCATTAACGGAACCATTGTAAAATTGATTATTTACAAAATATCTCTAAAGTATAAATTTAATTATTTCTATGTATAATAAAAACAATTTAAATTATTATTACCTGTTTCCATTTCTGATTATTTCCTGGGTTGAAATGATCCAAGTTTTGCAAAAACCATTTCTCAGGTGAAATATCTTTAAAAAGACCATTTTTATTCCTTCTTGGTAATCCTAGGTTACCACCAACACTTCTTCCACGATGGAAAATCTTCCAACACTCAGCATCATCAATTACAAACAGAAAAATAGGTATAAATGTGAAAAAATTCATGATAACAATCAGCAGTAACAATTTCCTGTTGTTTAGTGGTGTTTTTGCTTATATATACCAATAAGCAAATATAATGGAACGATCGATGTCGATAACCTTGTGAACTTTGAAATCGTCAGCGTTATTATTATTTGTTTTAAAATTTACCGCTGGTTTAATATCTTCTGATAAGGTTATCAGTGTTATTGTATATTTGGTTGCACACATTAATAATTTCTTCTTGTTTTATTTCTTTTAATTTATCATTATTTAATTTTCTCTTTGAGTTGAAAATTCAGTATCTCAATATGTAATAAATAATTATTAGAATTCTTCATTTAGTATATAATTCTGTTCTATTTTGTAAAAAAAATTTATGTTGGTATTCTGAAACACAAGAATTACATATTTATTTAACCTAATTCACCCGTTTACTCAGTCGCATGTGTAGTTACCTGTGAGTCCGCAATTGGCAATAGAAACGAACGCTGGACAAAAGGTGGCGCTAGTTAGAAGTTATTAAATTTATTATCCGAATTTCATTATTTGCTTTTTTGTATTAAACCAACAAAACTTAACCCATTTGCCACCCATTTGCTTCTTAACATATTTGCGGAACAACTAAAACTAATAATATGAAAGATCTAAGAACAAATTATCCTCTGGTGATGATTTTTTAAATGTTTATTTCTCTAAACTAGTTTCGGCCACAAGCCCTTCCTTGGTAGAATTAGAACCTACAAAAATTAATAAACAAAACATATTATAATTAAGTACAAATTTGTATGATTAAAAATAAAGTTTTAAGTGTTATTTAATAATATTGGATATATGGACTTACGTCAAGTAGTAAACTTTTAAGGTGACCAAAATTTACATTTTGTTATGTATTTCGGCTGTAAGTAAACCGTAGAATTTGAAACTTTATACGTATGTACTACTAGTTAAGACCTTATTTCCAACCATACCTTAAACTTCCCCAACTTTCTCTAAGGGGATGAAATTCACCACCCCCTTGATTTTTTTATAACAACTTTTTAACGCTATGGAATATTAACATAAAAAAATATGGGTTGTAAAGCTCATTCTTTAGTGGTACTTTTTTGTCTCTTTAGTATTTTCCTTAAAGATAATAGTTTTAGCGTAAAAAAATAAAATATGTATGCTCTATATACAGGTTGTCCCGTTAAGCGTACGGAGCGGCTATATCTCTAGAACGGTAAGGCCTAGA